AGAGAGAGAGGGGAGAGGAAAGGGAAAGGAAAGAGCGAGAGAGAGAAAGAGGAAAGAGAGGGAGAGGAAAGAGGCATAAAATAATTCATTTGCATTTAATTGTAATGGTTCAAAGAATGTTCGGAAAAATGTTCGGCCCTCCAGCACGTTCACTTCATCCAATCTGGCCCTCTTTGAAAAAAGTTTGGACACCCCTGTATTAAATCCAATAATATCTTTTAAAATCTCCTTGGCTCATTACATAAAGTTTAAAGCTCTTCCCTTAGGTATCACACAAAGAAAACCGTTGTTTTTTTTTAGTCTAACTCTGGCCTTCCTTTTATGCCAAGCTGGCTTCCATAAAAAGACTTTTAGATCCTCAAGTGGCTCTCCCTTCCTTCCTGGATATATCATTTGAAACAGGGGAGACCATCCAATCATCAGCCTATCAAGGAAGCCAGTCCCTTCACAGTCATTAAATTGTTGGTCAAATGGTTCTTCTTCTGGTTTCAGCTGGAGTAAATAAAAATTCATGTTCGATGTTGTAGTTGGATTTGGATCATCTAGATTATCTAGAATCTCAGTGTATTGTGATAAATCCTCTGCAAGTTCCATCTTAGCATTGCTTTGTTCAGTTTCTGTTGCTGTTGTAGTTGTAAAGTCTTTAAGTGAGGTCAAAATTTGGGTGTTAAAGTTCTGAGTAGATTGTTCCTGGCATTTTTTAAAATCCACTTTGTTATTAGTTCCTTCTTCTGTTGCTTTTTGAAGTGTGGATTCCTCTAATGGGGTTAAAGCTGTGTTTTGTGGCTTTAAAGTGGCATGTAAGTCTTTCATTCTAGAATTCATTAGCTCAGTAGCCTCTAGAATTTTTTCAAGTATAAGTTTGGCATAAGGCTGTGGGTGGTATTCTTCCATTTCTGTAATGTTTACAGTCCTTTAGTGGAGGCTATTTTTTAGCAAGAGTCAATAACTGTCCACCTCCACTATAAAGAAATATTTTCACCACCAAGCTGTTTCAAGTTCTTATCTTTTGATTGCTGTCAAGGACAAATTTTAGTCTCAGAGATCTCCCAGTCAGAAAAGATTTATTCCACTTGCTGTACCAAATTTCACCACTAGATGTCCCCAGTGACATACAAAATAGGGTTTTTTTCCGGTTCAGTAGAGGAAACAAAGAACATTCCCTTCCCCCCCCCCAGTTAACAAAAAAGTAAAGCGGTAAGTTTTTGTTGAGATACAGAGCTTTTAGGGAGCCCAGGTATCCAGATATTACAAGTCCAGGTAAGTGGTCATTTAATCTTGTTGTTCCTTTGTGTGTGTGTGTATGTATTTCTTGGCTTTAAATTCCCGGAGTAAACAAAAGCTGTGCAATTCAGCTGGGGGAAAGGAGTATTTCAAAAAATTTTTACAGGAAAATAGTTGGGAAAGAAAAAAGGAAAAATAGGGTCTCACCCAACTCCCAGTTGCTTCTTCATGCTTAGATGGTGCTTTGGGCTTTGGGCTGGTTTGACTAAGTGAGTGGCCATGTTAATGGCCGCTCTTTTCCTCTTCGGTCGTGAGGAGTTACTGCAGATCAAACGGAGAGGCTGCCGCCCCTCCGCAATCCAGCAAGAGTCCCTCTCAACGGTGGTCGCCCCTCCAGGGTGACTTTCGACCCCTTCCAGGGTCTTCCGAAGGAGAAAAAACGGACAGCGGGGAGAGGGATCTCTCCGTGTGTCCGCCAGTGTCGAAAACCAGAACTGGAAGCCTTTAAGGCAATATTTTTGAAGTGGTCATTGTAAATATCAAAAAAACAAGAATGTGGTATAATTTCATTTTTTCCGTTCTGTTTTTTGTTAGTTTGTTTCTTTTCTTGGAAACTTTTGGGTAGAAAATATTAATTGGGTCATTAGATAGCTTTTATATTCTGACAGAAGGTAAGGTGAAAGAAAAAAGATGGTTCTTTTTCAAGGATAATAATGAATATAGTTTATTCTATTTGATTCATGAAAAATAGATAGTTCTGCTAAGTTACTTTTGAATCCTTTTGATTCAGTAAGTTTAATAATATGCTTAAATATTCAGTTCACAATTCATAATATTCTATTTTTAATTAGACTTGCTGAATGGAGATCTCTGGGTGCTAAAGCTCCCTATAGCTCCAGACATGGACTGCTGATTATGCACTTTCTAATACAGGAGGCTTCAGCCAAGTCATTTTCTGTTGTGTACAATATTAGCACAATGATGTAGTACATGCAAACAGTAAGATATTCAGTCCTTTTAAAATAACTGTATAAAAAGGCACCCCATAAAAAGAGCACTTAGATTATTTTTTTTAGAGGAATACAGCTGATTTTTATTACAATGACCTCTTAGCCTTTTAAATGGGTAACTTAGAAAAATATTCTTAAAGCAGTAATGCTGTTTTTGAAATAAAAACATTTCTGACTTTCACTTAGCTTGGAATTCAGCTTAGACCATCATCCAATATTAAAACTGATTCATTTTGTAGTATTATACACTGTCTTCCACTTGGATCTTACACTATTGTGTTATTTGATAAGGTATTAGGCAAATACCAAAGAATCAAAATTTAAATGGTTAATTCTTCTTTTTCTGTTTCTAGCTATAATTATGATGTATAATGGTCTTTTCTGTAAATTGATTTACCTGAACTAAGAAAGTTTCATCTGTGGTAGCCACGTTCAATTTTTTTAATTCCATTTAATTCCATATCTTTTATTTTTATGTAATGTAAGTCTGGTTAATGATCAAAATAAAATATTTTTACTTTGGTTTAACATAAAGTAAATAAAGTATGTTTTTAAAATGTTATTAGGATTTTAAAAAACAAATTTTGATCATCTAAATTTACAGTGGAAATTTAAAAACTTAATTGAAAATGTGTTGAAGAACAGCTTTTTCATCCAGGAGCCGTATATGTTTATACTTTAAAACACAAACTTATAGTGAATTAAAAGAAATCTCATCCTCAAAGATTCAGACATGAAACAGTAAAGGAAAATTTGTATCTCAGCTGTCAAATCTAATCTATAAATCTAGGTAGTAGGTAGAGACAACCAGAGCTTCAGAAAAATCAAGCTCTAAAGAGCCAGTTGGGAATGGGAAGATTCCCCTTTCAGATGGGCTTTTAAAAAGAGGTAACTTCATTTTGTCTGTCTTCTCTGAGTTTTTTTCCCTTTACAGGTGGAAGAATTAGAGCCAGGAAAGCAGAAATTTCAATCCCCCAAAGTCTAAGAGGGGGGATCCAAGAGAAATTATAGCAGTCTAGGGCAGAGGTCCCCAACCTTTTGGGCACCAGGGACTGGTTCTGTGAAGAGAGATTTTTCTGCGGACCAGAGGGGGCATGATTTTGTGTGCTGCCTGCATCCCATAGATGGGGCTTTGTTTGTTTGTGCAGCCCGGTTGCTGGCATGCTGTGGCCTGGTATTGGTCCATGGACCGGGGGTTGAGGACCCCTGGTCTAGGGGATAGTAGCACTAGATCTGTATTAGCATTTTTTTTTTAAAAAAAGGAAAATTATTTGAGATCAGCGTCTATACTATTTGTTCTGCCTATAAATGCAAACGTTATTTCTATATTAGAAGCAACTTCTGAGATTAAACTTGCAGAGTTATGGTTAAACTGCCCAGAATCTACAAAAACTATAAAATGCATTTCTTTATAGATAGTCCCCAACTTATGACTGGTCACTTATTGACCATTCAAAATTATGACAGGCCTGGAATAGATGCTTCATGGCTTATAAGGCACTTCTGGCCATCATAAAATGTAATACCACACCCACTTCTCACAGGGCCGTGACTGTATTACAGAGCTTGTGAACCATCTCATCTTTATAGTTGTAATCTCTTGCAGCCATGAGATGTTTTCTGCTGGGGTCTACAAAAATTGCCCATTTGGAAGAATGGCTTTGCACTTAAGATGACAGGTTCCCTTAACAACCATGATGATTTCACTTAGCGACCACTGCAAAAATGTCATAAAATTGGGTCCAGGGTTGTGAGTGCCTCAGTTTAAATATCATAACAATTTATGACTGGACATTCAGTGCCAATAGCAGTTGAAAGCCAAGAACTCTCTGTAGTTGACTATTTCTTATGTCTTTCATTTTGCCTCGCTCAAAAGAAAATAGAGTTATGAGTTTGTAAGTATGCATACTAAATAGTTATTTCTGTCTTGTGCTCTAGTGCCTTTGAAGGAGAATATACATATAATAAAGCCCACGGAATATACAAATGTGTTGTTTGTGGAAGTCCTTTATTCAAGTAAGTATATTGAACAAAATAAATGTGCAGTTTGTGACGTCTGACTAGTTTGGGAGAACATTACTATTTGACTGTAATTACTAGACAGAAGTCCTTTTAATTTGTCCTTTTAAGCAATATTGGCTTAGAATTCTGGGTGCTTTCGTCAAGGACAGAAATTATCAGAGATAGGGACTCCCTCAAATAACTTGATCTGTCCCTTGAAAATTTTTTACCAATAGTAACCTATTCTTTAATTACAGAGTTGAGTATACAGAATACAGAATTTAATTGTAATTACACTAAAACTAACTATATCAAATCTGATGGCTTGATCAATGATGAACTGGTTGAGGTCCAAATTGTATACTCAATTGTGGACAATGTTTTTGCTTTACATCAATTGATTGAAAAATGCATACTCAAAATTGGCCTTCCTCAACTTTAAAGGATAATTCAACTTTATCTCTCTGACATTGTTATGGAGAAATCTTTTAGATATGTAAATTGACAAGCAACTNAGCAACTTTTCTTAATCCAACAGCTGTCTTCAGACATTTAACTCAAGATGAGGTATAACACTCAGGTTCTTGAATAGTGTGCATTGAGAGTATGGTAGGACAAGTGTATTTTGGCCCCAAATTTATTCAACCTCTATAATTGAACTCCTGGACTCACCAGATTTCCACATACTAAGACTGTGGGTAGCAATGTGTTATTCTGTTTGGGCAACATAATGGTTATTTCCTGTATGCATGTTGTGCTAAAACATGTAGTGAAGATCATTGTCTATTACTGCACCCTAAACAGTCTGGACATAAAATTACCAGGAATATAAAATTATTATTTTTGCCAAGTACAGAATACAAAGTAGGAATACAAAGTAGGACGACAGGATGCAATATACAATACATTGCAGGTTTCGAGTATAGTATATTACGTTGTATGTTTATTATAATCAGTTTGATATAGGAAGATGGGAAAGATGAGAGGGAGCACCAATGTTATAGCCTTGGGCAGATATTCTCTTATAGCCTAATTTATCTCACAATTGAGAGTTGCAATTGTGATGACAAAATTAAGGGAGATAGCTTGCATTGTATCCTTGGAGGAAAGGGATCATATAGATCTTAACAAATACTTAATAATTGAAATAAAATAAAATAATATTCATATCCATTTACAATAGATGAGTTAAAAGATAATTTATTTTTGTTCCTTTGCCATTAACTAGTATACTGCATTTTTGTCATTAGCTGTTTGAAAACCAAATAAGTAACAATAGTTAATTAGTTCTCTATCTAGGACCAGATTCTGAATGCCTTTTTTAATCTGCTTGTCATTTTTCATGTTTGCTTTAATACATTTTTGTATTTAAAATGCACCACTTCCATGCTAATGTGTGTATTACATTTCTACAACATGGTAATATTGATTTTGTATTATTATATTCCTGATATTTGGGATTACTAAAATGTGTTACTAGTTGAATGTTTGCTATTTGTGAATTGTGGAACATACTGAGATTTCTCTGGAAATGTCATGGAAAAATAACGTTCTGGTTAGATTGAAATTATATATATATATATATATGTTCGAAGGGTCACAAACAGTGAGACCACCAGGAGGTTAAAAAATTACAAAAGTTTATTACTATTAAAACATTAAAACACCTAGCTTTCGCCGGCCTCCTGCCGGCTTCGTCAGGGTGACTAGCCATCAGTGGGGTAGCTGTTTTTATAGGAGCGGTGCCTTTTGCACCCGGCTCCTAGATCT